TTCTTCCCATGTCCTATCATGTTCATAATTGCCCTGAGCCTAGTACCATTTTCACTTCCTTTGACGCTCCTCGTAATTTTGAAGTCTTCTGTAATTTTTGCTTTTTAATTTTGATATCTCTTTATGACTTAACAATAAAAAGGTTGTATGGTTTTTATCAGCTGTCTCCACAATAATCTCTCATTATGCAGGCAGTATAGTTCTTTCCATTTACGCATGATTTCAGGAGTTGCTTCCCTAACTGCAAAGGCAACCTCATTTAGGGTAGTATCTGAAAGCAGCTTTGTTTGACTTAAGAGTTACGTGTATCACCCCACACCGAGTACTTTGTGGGGCTGTTAAACACAAATGTAACATATTTTTCTGAATGAGAGCATGTCAAATGCATCCTCTAGGAAAATTAGTGTAATAGTCTTTGTTTCCTAAAGTTGATACTGTGAGTTATTTTTTGTGAATGCCTGATGTTTGGGATCTTTCTTCTCAAAATAAACAAGTCTTTATTAAACCAGGAATTTGGAGCAAAAAAAAAAAGAAAAAGAAAGAAAAAGAAAAGACAAGATTTATCCTTCTGCCTGTTGTAGTTGGTTTTCCCAAGGAACGGGACACGTAATTTATAGAATTATTTTATAATAATCACCCAAAGAGTCAAGTTCAAAAGAGTATGGGAAATCTGTCCACACACTACACACCCACAGAATCCAGCTGCGGGCCAGGATGCATGGTAATGTCTGGCCTGAGTCCAGCTGAAGACCTAGAGCTCATTACAATTCCCCCAACGAGTCCAGCTGGAGGCCAAGAGGCTGGGGCAACATCTCACGCATGCCTGTTTCCAGGGTCTGCACTGGGCAAGCCCGAAGGTCCGTGGTGGAAGCTAGAAAGCCTGTACCAGCGAGCTCTGTGCCAGCAGCTGAGGGATCTGCACTGGAGCCAGGAAGCGACGCTCAAGGCAAGCACAGAGCTCCCCCATGGAGAACCAGGGCCACCCTCAGCAACAGTGAGGTCCCAAGCTCCTCTGATGAGAACAGCCAAGTCTGCATAAGGAAAGCCAAGGCAACAAGCTTCACCAGGAGATTGCATGGTGTACCATCTTCCCCTCTGGCAAGAAGCAATGCTGATGATCAAAGGAAGGACCAGAGCTCCCCAAAGGGGACTGTAGTCATTCTCAGCAACAAGGTCCCAAGCCCTTCTGATGACGAGAACAGCCAAGTCCATATCAGCAAAGCCAGCACGGCAAGCTCCTCTGGGAGAACCAAGAGTCCTTGGAGAACCAGCAGCTCCTAACACTTCATCCCCAGGTCTCCTTTCATTTGGTTGGCAACACCCCCAGGGGTCCTCCCATGCCCGGCACAACACCCCTCAGGGGTCCTCCCACACCCGGCACAACACCCCTCAGGGGTCCTCCCACACCCGGCACAACACCCCCAGGGGTCCTCCCACGCCCAGCACAACACCCCCAGGGGTCTTCCCACACCCGGCACAACACCCCTCAGGGGTCCTCCCACGCCCGGCAAGCACCCTTCAGGGGTCCTCCCACGCCCGGCACCGCACTGGTTCAGTTCAGTTGGGTGTTACAGGTTGCCCACCAGTTGGCAATCCACCGCAATGCCTACAGCAATAATTAACTGTCAGGAGCATGTTTCAGCAGACACACGCATTTTAATTTTCTCACACCATCCATGTCAAAGAAAGCCATTTGTTACTTATTTGTTAGTGTAAAGAGAAAAATGGCAAGACGGAATTATTTGAAAAATCAGAGGACACTCTACCGGGCACCACCGAATCAAGTGGTCATCCTCTCCACTAAGGCTTGCTTCCCTTCTCTCAGGGATCGTCATCGACCTGTGTGGTTTACACATTCTTATGCTAAATATTCATTTTATAGAACTTGGGAATTAAATGTTGTATTTCTGGAAAACACACCCTTGAATCTGCTGTGGATAGCACGTGATCCTTATTTTCAAGGGCTTCTTGGCTGCACACTCTGGTCATTCTTACTGATCCATTTGCGCTCACCAGCTTACCCTTAACTCAGGAATGCTCTTACTCCCAGACTACACCATCACTGTTTCATTCTCACCATGAATTTTCCCTTTTTCTCTTTCCCCTTTCCTGTAAGAACTGCCTAGGGACACACTCGGAGCATCTCACTGCCTTTATGTCCTCAGTAACTACTATGTTAACAGCATATGATATTAAGAATAAAATAAAAAAACCTGATCTCAAGAAGATTTCCACGTGGCCCATTTCCCTCTCAGAGCTTGCTCGTGCATGCTGGCCCCCTTCACTCCTCATAGGCCATCGCCTCCGCCCTGTCACCAGCAGTGGCGTCCTGCCCTGAGAAGCACAACCACAAACTCTGCTTCACCCTTGTGGCCCAGAAGTCTCTCCACAGTGCCCCAACCTCAATTTCATAATTTTCCCTCCTGCCTTGGCTTCCGTCGTACAATGTTGGCTTTATCCTTCTCACTCTATCCTTCCCCTTTCCTTTTCTGCAGTGTGGGCACCTCCCTGCCAGGCTGTTTTCTTTCTCTGTGTTCTCCCTCTGAGCTGTGCACCTTGGCAGGCGACTGCCATTTATCCAGCCCCATCTTCTCAGATTCAGTTTCTCATTTCCAAATGACAATGTGCCACATCATTAATGACAACACCTTGTTCGTAAAACTGACCTTGGAGTGTCACCCCAGAGCTCCTTCCTCAGCTGACCTGGTGAAAAGATTGCCCCCCACCATACCCCATGGGTCATAATGAGTCTGTTCTGAAATTCAGAATCCATCTTTTAGTCTATTTCGTTATTTGTCCATCTGTAACCAAAGGCCACATCATCATCTTCCCAAAGCACTGAGATTTCCCCACTTCTTCCTCTATGCTGAAGTTATCTATGTACACCGTATGTTCCACCATTATCCCCCATGTACCCCACCACTAGTTAGGGTGCCTGGATCTTGACTTGAAGCACCCCGTTTCTGCCCTTCACCCAAGTGTTCACATTGTGCTGCCACTTACCAAGAGGACAAACTTCCCACTGATGGCGCAGCCATTCTAGTTTACTTATGAGAGCAGAGGAAAGCAATGAGGCTAGCAGTGGGAATTCAGGTGAGTGTGACTGCTGTACTGTGACAGGAGAGCGAGCAGGTGTCTCCTATGGACAGACAGAGGAGCCCAGGAGAGCCAGCAGAGAGTCAGCTAGATGGTAGCACCCAGGCTGGCCATGGGAGAGCATCAGAGAATTGCAGAAGTGGTGTAGGAGCTGATAAGCACGTTGAAAGACCAAAACATGTAAAACCTAGAAGTCAAAAATGAAAGGCTCAGAGGCCCAGGACACGGCAGACCTGCATCTTTGGAAAGTGAAGCCCACGTCAGAAGCTCCAGCAGCCTTCCTCAATCCCTTTGAATTAATTTCTTTCTTGTGTTCTCTCTCCCTATCACTTCCAACTCCTCCTACAGTGTGGATTTTAGCTCTTGGCTTTTGTCTGAGCTGCAGCTCGAGGCCGGGCATGGGCTTGTTCATGCTCTTCTGCACTGTGTAGCTAGAGCTCAGCCAGCGCTCTTCTCCCAGAGATTCCTGTGAAAGAAAATAATCCCAGTGCTCATTCACAAGATCATTGCACATTCCCACCTCCAAATGTTGGCTGAAACTTCTCCCTTACCTACTCCAGTGGCTCTCTTGCCTCTTCCCCTTGACCTGAAGTTTCAGAATGTTGACTGCTGCACCTGAACACTGTGTTATGTGCTCGGTGGTGAGAGGATGCAGATGGGGCTAGGGAGGGATTTGTAGTGTGCTGAACCCTCGAGGATCCCCTTTTCCCACAGAGCCCTACAAGTGCAGCTGGTAATGAGAGTCTCTCTCTCTCTCTCTCTCTCTCTCTCTCTCTCTCTCTCTCTCTGCTTTCTGTCTCTGTCTCTCTGCTGTCTGTCTCTGTCTCTCTGTCTCTCTGCTGTCTGTCTCTGTCTCTCTGCTCCTTGTCTCTGTCTGTCTCTGTCTCTCTCTTCTCCCTCCCTCCATCCCTCCCCTGGCTGACTAGATAACTAATCAGATCAATCAGAATCCATTCATTATTGATTATGTGTGCTGTTAAGCTGTTACTTGATTTCTCCCATGTGATCTTGAACTCTCAACTCTTCCTCCCAGCATGATTTATCTGTATTTTCTCTTTCCAGTGAAGCTGGAAACTCTTGGAGGCCTGGGATTGTGCCAATTAGGCTTTGTGGCTGGTTCAGAGTCTGTGGCGTGTGCCAGGATACGTGCTGGCTGGAGGTGGGGTCACTTGGGGTAGGGAGGAGGCCATTTGTGGGACCGTTGCAAGTGGCCCCTGCTTCTGACCTGGAAATCTCCTCAAGATGAGAGCACTGTAATCGTGGTGCAGTGCTGGTACCTGTGTACAGTGTCAGCAAGAGCCCAAAGTCCCGCAGGCTGCCAAGCTTTTGAAAGCTGCTGCAGGAAATCAGCTCTCAGGACCCACACATGGCAAGTCTGCCCAGCTGGATCTTCTAAGACAGCACTGAGTATTTGAACTTTATAAGTATTTAATAAAAGATCAGTATTGTCTCCTTAACTTACATCAAAAACATGTTTCTTCTCAAGACTGGCTGATGTTTCCACGCCACCAGTACTCCGATTTTTGATCAACAGTGTGTCTTTCTCGGTTGATAAGTTTTGCAGACATTTAAATCTCAGTGTATATTGGTTAGCAGGAAGGCACACTTCCATTTGCAGGTACTACATGGCATTTAAGATGAGCTGCGTTGGGGCTGGGGAGATGGCTCAGTAGAATAAGTGCTTGCCTGGCAAATGCAAGGGCCTGAGTTCAATCCCCAGTTCTGCCAAAAAAAACATGGGCTGCGTTGAAATCCAAAAGGCTGGGACCACCCCAGCACCCTGCTGTGTATCATTTTCTGACTGTGCCCTTTACATCGTAAAGAACAGTGGAAGCAAGTGCGCTTTGATCAGAAAGAATCAGCAAACACCAGCACTGATTCGCTGATTGTTTTTGTCTCAACAGGCATTAAAGCCAGCTTTCGAACGCGGGTGCCAGAAGGTCTGATCCTCTTTGCAGCATCTCCTGGCAAGCAGGAGGAGTACTTTGCACTTCAGTTGAAGAAAGGCCGTCCTTATTTTCTTTTTGATCCTCAGGTAAATTATTAATCTTGACAGTTGATAAGTTAAGAGCAGATAGTACCAAGGCAAGTGTTTGCGTTTTCGTATTGAATCCACATCGAAATCTTATAAAAAGTAATAAGGAGGTATAAGTCCTGCTGTTATCCTCCATTTTACCCAAGAAAAAATGAAAAAGCACAAAACTGATATGACTTGCCCACAACTAAAATAGCAGGCCAGCTTCAAACTCACACAGCCTAAATGTCGGTATGCTCAACAACCTCATCATGAAATTTTAATTTTTTAGATCAATTTGATAGCTCTGGTTTTAGTTTCTTAAGAACAAACACTCGGCTTTTCTGTTCTTGCCTTCCCCTGTGTTCTCCTCTGTCCTCATTTCCCCGGTGCCCATGACATGGCCAGAGTACTGGTCTGCTCTGTGCCTCCGGCTTGGCAGTTCCAAATACAGTTGTAACACAATCTGCAGTCGTTACAGCCAGAACCATTAATTTATGATAGTTATAAATACTGCCAAAGAGCAGTGTCATGGTTGGGGTTTTTACAAGGTGAACAATATAATACAGGACACATTTTATAATATTATCTTACAAGGAATTAACCAAGAATCCTATACAAGAAGTGCAGGAAAGGCCCAAAGGTCAGTGGTGGAAGCTAGGAAGTCGATGCTAGCAGATGAAGCACCTGTGCTAGCAGGCTGAGGGATCTAAACTGGAGCCAGGAAGCAACGCTCAAGGTAAGCACCGGAGCTCCCCTAGAGGTACCACAGCCATCCTCAGCAACAGTAAGGTCCCAAGATCATCCAGCGATAAGGAAAGCTGAGTCCCCACAAGGAAAGCCAATAAGACGAGCTTCTCCAGGAGGCTGAGCAGTGTACCATCTTCCCCCCACAACCAGGAAGTGATGCTCAAGATGAGGACCAGAGCTCCACCAAAGTTCATCAGGAAAGCCAGCATGACAAGGTCCTTCAGCAGAACAGGTCCAAGAGAACTAGCAGCATCCAACAGCTCCAACATCTTCTCCAAACAGCACCCCTAACAGTGTTCTGGCAGATCCTGCCTTTATGCTGCTGGCAACAGCCCTCAGGTGGGCCTCCTGCACCCAGCACCACGCTAGTTCAGTTCAGCTGGGTGTAAGAAGCTGACCACCAGTTAGCTACCCACTACAAGCAATAAGGAATGGCATGGATCACTGAAACTTAAGATGAAGGTGCCTGCATTTCTCTGAGAAGTTCATGGCCTCTGAAATGTGATGTTTGCCCAAGATTCACAACAGTGAGGAGGAAGTCCTCAGGACAGGAGCCGGCCCAAAAGCACTCAGGAGTGAACAGCCAAGTTTTAGAAGCAGAGTTTTCAGGCAACCCCACTAGCACACAGGCTGAGTGCTCCAAGGGTCGGCCACATTCTCTATACTGCAATAAGCAGGAAGTGGCTGCAGACCAGGCAACAAAGGGAAAAGACAGAGTAATTCAGAAATTTAAGGATAGGGACTTGGTTATGTGGCGCCTTGTAAACCAAAGTGAGGAGCTGAATTTTTCCTAAGAGCAATGGGAAGTCATTGAAGAAGTTGTCTTCACTTTCATTAAACCAATTTAGCAAGAATTCAGTGTTAGGCAATGCACAGGGCCCAGGAGGATTTGAGACATGAGTAAGACTAAGTAAAAACTTGTATTTCCCCTTCCTCTCTAGTCTTCAACTTAAAATATTCTAAGTGAGGGATGGTGTAACTCAACTGACTAAGTGCCTGCTTGGGCGAATACAGGGACAGAGTTCAAGTCCCAGTACCGGATGCTGAGCTGGTCCCACCCTTGGGAATGCTGAACCAGCAACCAAGCCTAGGCATGGTGGTACACACCTGTAATCCCAGTGGGGAGGCTGAAAACAGGTGAATCACTATGAGTCTGACCTGCTTAATGAGACCCTGTACCAAATACATAAATTTAGAAATAAAACAAAATATTCTAAGTGATACATTATGCTTGCTAAATATATTATATTTGTAAAACTGTCATATTTTGTCTCTGTATCCAAGTTGCATGTAGCAGAGGGGCTGGGAGCTCTTTGGAGGGAGTACAGTGTCCTTCACACTGCAGACCCTCTGACCTGAGAGCTGAAGTCAGTTCCAGCTGGGCCAAATATGTGCGACCCTCAGGCCTGGCTCAAGAGGCAGGTGGAGTCCTTCCTGTCTAGGGAATGTGCCAGCTACCACAGAACGACAAGGACAGGAAGCCCTTGGCATCTTGACAAGGATCCCATGACTTCTCAGCTACAGTGTTATAGGTCTGTTCCACGAGGACTGCCGGTGTCCCCTGGAAGCACAGCTTTGTAAAGAATACTAACATGAAGGCAGCAAGTAAAGCAAAGAGACATCACATCCCAGCTGGATGCGGCAGTGAGCAGGATGGTCACCGCAGAGTGCAGGACAGGCAGCAACCGGAAGCAACACCCACGCTGAAGTCTATTTGGCCACAGAACTGAGAATATTCTTCACTTGAAAACTTTAAGGGCATTAGCAGAGATGTATTAGGCCCATATAAGTAGGATGTTGACAAAGTTGAAGAACTTCCTGAAAGTATGTAACAAAAATATGAGAAAATAAATAATCCATCAATATTATTGAGAAGAAATTCAAAGGAGGAGCAAAAATACATACACAAGAAAAGAGATGAGAGAAAAATGATAGGAGAAAATACATGACTTAGGAAAGAACTAGAAATGTGTTGAAAGATGTCAGCAAATCTCTATCAAGAACAAGCAAAGCAAGTGCTCTATAAGACCTCTTTATGTGCCAGAGTGACACATATGCCAGGCTTTGTCCTGCATGCTGTCTCCGCACATGAGCACACACCCCACACACATGCGTGCTCCTAGAAACACTCATTCTTTTGAACATCTTAGCAATTCCAAGAAGTAACTTAGCTGCTGTGTCATTCTCTTCCATTACAGGTGAGGGACTTGGGGCCAGAAGTAAATTAATTTTCTCAAAGTCACCCAGGTAGTGAGTGATACCTATTAAACTCTGATTCCAAAGACTGTGATTCTAGCCATCATTTTAGCTATGATCTTCTTCAGCTCAAAAGAACAGCTGAGTGACAACCGACAAGTCAGAGAAAACTCTGCCCATGTAACATTTTCACGGAGAATACTTCAGCAAGACATCTCTACCGAAGGGAAACAATAACTGAAGGCCACATATAAAAAAGGAGAAATCGTGGTATATAAAGAACTTAACAAGGGCCAGCCAAATAGCTCAGTGGACTAATGCACCTGCAAGTAGGCACAGGGGCCGGGGGTTCAATCCCCTGGCCCAATGTATTGGCACCACCCTCAGGGCATCCTGAGATGGCGATTAAGACTGGGTGTGGTGTTGTGTGCCTGTGATCCCAGCTCTTGGGAGGCTGTAAACAGGTGGATCACTACGAGTCTGATCTAGTAGTGAGACCCTGAACACCCTGTAGACCCTTTCCTAAAATACACATACACACACACACACACACACACACACACACAAAAGAACTTAACAATATTAAGTTCAACCTGAATCTTTGACTTCAGGATGATTAGAAATTAGTTAAGTAGCAATATGCTACTGAAGGGCTGGGGAGATAGTTCAGCGGACTAAAGCACCTGTTTAGGCAAGCTTAGGCAAGCATAGGAACCTTGGTTTAATCCCCAGCAACACACGCTGTGCCAGCCCTGCCCCCAGGGCAGGCTGAAATGGCCAGAGACCAGGTGTGGTGACACCAGGTGTTGTGACACATGATTGTAATCCCAGCACTGGGGAGGCTGAAAACAAGAGGATCACCATGAGTCCGAGCTGCATAGTGAGATCCTTCAACAAATGCATTAGAAAAAAAAATCTCTTAAAAAAAAGAAAGAAATATGCTAATGACAAATAAAAGAGAACTACTAACTCCCCTGGCCCATTAATGTATTAACTGCTGCTAAAAATTAGTGAGTTGAAGGAAAGAGAAGTATGAATGAATTAAAAAAATGTTCAAGTCCATGTTATGCCTAAGATGTTTGATATTCAGATAGATAGTGAGGTTAAACCCAACTGCATATGTTTTAAGGTAATAATAAGCTTCTCTTCTGGAGGGTTAACAACCTAAGTTTGCAGGCCAAAAATTAGAGAAAAAGAAGGGCTGCAAGGACAGCCAACATTGTGGCCCTAGCCTTACAAGGTCAGTGAAGACTCAGGACATAGGAGAACCTGTACTGTAACATTATGTAACTCAATTGTGTCCCAAATTTTCTAATCAAGGAGATTATGGGGCCACAAAGCAACATGATTGATGATGTAGAGTGTGCCTAAGGAGAGTCACATGGAGAGAAAACATTCTCTCAGGCTTTCACAGAGAGAAAATTGGTCAAACAATGGCCGTGACTCACCCACATGGCTGACACTGACAAAGGATCTGCAAACTGTAGTACAGGGTAACAGGATAAATCCTGAGGGGACTTGACTGACATTATCAGATACAAAAGATACATTTCTTGTTATATAGGTCTTGCTTTATCTTGGTCTTAACCATCCAGCAGAAAAGTATAAAAATGAGCTATAAAAAGTAAAGCTATATTAATATGCTGAGCTGTGAAAGGCTCAAGCCAACAACTTCTGACATTGCCTTGTAGAGTCCTACGAATTACCCACTACTATTATGGACTACTGGACTACATTGGATTATTTTGCTGAATTCATAGACCTATAATAAAATTTAAATGGCAATGGAATACCCATCTCTGACAAAACTAAACAAAAAAGGAGATATAAAGGAAGGACTATTTTGTATCTGTTAATACAAAATAGGATAGATATACAGCTACTTTCTCTTAATTCAATGAGAAGAAAGATTTATACTAATAATATTTGGATGGATATCATGTCTGCATCTTGTACTATGAATAATCACTAAGAAGATAACAATATACAATGTATTAATTATTGAAAATGTCCTATTAATCCGTTTTGAAGCTGTCTCATTGCTGTTTCTCAATAAAATTAATAAAAAATGAAAA